GTGATGTATTTGGTCTGGTCTATAGTTGGGTGATTTGTTTGATCTGGTCTAAAACAGAATTTATTTCAGGCAGCTAGGTTCTTGGCTTTTGTTAAGAGTGATGATTGATAAAGATATGAATTTATATTTGATGAAGTTATTATGAATGCCTTGGTCGCGTTCACAGGTGCAGTAAATAAAATGTACAAAGTGTAACTCCATGGAAATCTTTTCAGCTTCGAGTATATGATCACCTTTAATGGTTCATACTCAACAAAGATGTATTTGTGGCACAAACAATATTCCAAATAACAATGATGAAAACAAAGTTTGTTTTTTCCAGTCTGATATCACCAGAGGTTTGTGTTTACAAGTGTAGTAGCACTGAGTAGGGTACGACACAAACATCAAGCAATGAATACGTGGAAGGGTGATTATCATGCATTTACAAGCAGCGGCTACAGCATTACAGGTATACAGATAGCAGTAGCTGTATATACAAAAAGGAAGAAAAAATTCAAATCAGTCGGGTAGCATAAATGAGCACATATGGTACAGCCATAAAGATACTTCATAAATATTTTTTATCAAGAGTCTTATGAACCCATAAGTGACCTCCAAAATTCTCAACATTGCTGAATTAAGCCTCAGCTTGGTAGAGTGGAAACAAAATTGGAAAGTTTGAAAATTAGAAAGATAGAAAACTAGAAAAAAAATATTTTTTTTCTTTCCATTGGTGTGCTTAGTAGAAAGGATGGAAAAATCATTGTTTGGTGGAGCTGAAAGATGAGGGGAAAGAAAATTTATCTTTGAAAAAGACAAATTGTAAACTAACTCGCATCCCTCTCTAATTTTCTTTCCCCTCACTTCTCTTTCATACCAAGCACACCCAAATTTATTGTCTTTCCACTTTCCCTCTCCCTCCTTCCATATTTCCAGTATTCCACCCAACCAAGCAAAGCCTAAGCGCATGGGACATGGATATTAATTCCTTTCTTGAATAATACATAGAAGGTTTCAGGTGGCACAAAAACCGATAAAGAAATGAAGGATTAGTCATACTCAATTGTTGAGAGTACAGAGACTACAAATTTCAAGACCGATAAATTGGATCTAAAGACTAAAGCCATGATAGCCTTCAGTTATAGATGTTTACCTCTAATTAAGTGCTGGTGCTGCCAAGATCAAAGTCCATGGTGTAGTCGTACTCAATTGTTGGAATTACAGATGCTAAAAATTTCAAGAACAAGAAAAGATACCTGCAAAAATAAGGTTGAAACAGAAATTCATAATTTTTTATTATAAAGGGGCCCGAAGGCTGCTATCCCAATAGGCCAGCGGGCAACAATTGAGTTAGTTGCAGTAATCTAATCCAAAAGTACATGCATACTGCATACTTAAGAGCGTGGGAGAAAATTATGATGACTGTTATTTGTAAAGGAAAATTGTGCGAAATAGTTATCGCACTGCATACATGTTCTCTTAAAGATAAAAGGGTCAATTCAGAACAGTTTTGTGGTAAACGAGGGGCCAAAAGTCTTACTTATCAACTTCAGGTTCTACTCCACGTGATATAAGTACATCGATGATCTTTTCATCACAGCCCCATGTTTGCATGGATGCACAGATGCATGCTTCCCAGGTAAGTGAGGATGGTCCTCAATAGTAACCTGTATCCAGGTAAATCAGGAAAGATTAGACATTTTCAAAATTCATTTAGGAGCATGCAGATAAAATAATGAGAGACGAGCACACTGAAATCCGACCTCCTGCCCAATAAAAATGAATGAGAGATGATCTGAATTAGTGATTATGGCATACCGTTTTGTGTGTGTGTTCCTGACTAGCATCTTCGAGAACAAGCTCTGGTTGTAAAAGCATCCTCGACTATGATCAAATTCAGACAAGGACAATGATTTGCAGCCATATTGATAAGTTTGATATTTGAATCAACAAATAGAGATCAGTAAAAATAGGGATTATCTAATCCAACACCTACCTCATCATACCCAGTAAGCCACACATGAGGAGTCTGATAGTATTTATCATACCTAAAACACGACAATGTTTGGCAAGTTTGAGACTTCATAAGAAAATACTTTCTGAAAACAAATCCTAAGAGTTTGCATGCACCAGAATTGTCTTACGTGATGCTGACATCATAGGTTCGGGTTCGTAAAATATTGTCATCATCAGGTTCTTGAGCAACAAGATATGTTAGTTGTAAAGTTGCCTGCATTGATCAGACATGCATCATCTCAAAACATAAACATTTGAACCTCTAAGGGGGGAAGAAGAAATCAGAATCCATATCCATAAGGACAGGTTCGTTAAGCATAAAACTAAATCTATGCATCTTATCACAACATAATCTTTCCTTTCCTTTACTTTCCTTTCTGTCTCTCTTTTTCCCCTACCCGCCCTCATCCATATTAACAAAGATACGTAATATTAAGATAGTACAGGACATTGGTTGATAAGCTTATTCTTTGCCAATAACTCAATTCGAATCGAGCAACTCCATAGATTGTAGTTCTTAATTCCAGTCAATTGATGCGAAACCAGCACCGTCCCCGGCGTATCCAATGGATGAAGGTAAAGGGGATGAGTAAAATCGATTGAATCCATGGAAGAAAAGAGGGGAAAACAAAGAACTCGGTAAAGAAAAGGAGAAAATTAGAAAGGGCGAGGTTCCACACAAGACCTTTCTTCTAATACCATGTTAAAACACGTGTGTAAAAAATACCTCGTGTATATTCATCTTATTACTAATCTGTACACCATTCATTTTTATACAACTCAATTACAAAGGCTAATACACTAACTAACTTCTAACCAACTACCAACTAACTAACAAACCTTCTAACTCTTAATTTCTCAACAATCATCCCCTCAGTCATCGCTACATACTCGTTCTCTCGTCTAGAACATTAAACAAGGATAAACTAGTCTTTTAGTGTTTAGTGATGTATAATACAATAAACATTATTATTGAAGACATCGTTATATCTTTACTTAGTATGTTATTCAATTGGGGTTGTTTATTTGTTAATGAATGGCTACTCGCATTCATCCTCACTTTCCACGACCTACCAAAAGGCTTGAGACTTGGCTCTCACATCATCGCTTTTCCGATGTTCGTATGGTACGTGATTTTTTAAACACATTCTTTGCATGGTACGTCATCCACTTATTAGTATTCATTCCACGAAGATTTGTCCTTTGCATTCCTTTTCCAACGTTCACCCATTTTAATGATTTCTCTTTCGAAACGAGTGCAACTAAGGGTACTTTTTGAAGTTTTTTATCCACTAATAGCATTCTAGTCATTTACCACTCGTAAGAGTATCTTTAATCACATTTGACCATTTAAGACCTCCCACAGGCTAAGTTCCACTACTATAAGTCATCCCTTCCTCTTACGAGTCTAATTCGAAGTCAAACTTTGCTTCCGAAGTAGAGGGTATAAATATTAGGTTGATTGTATCGATACTCACCTTATAATATTGATGCTCTTGGTCAATATCAATACTACAAGTATATTTTACTCAGATTTCATCCTCAGTTCATATGATATGAATATGATTCCTTCAGTATTAATGCTTAAGCCTATCAATATTTATTTCTAGACTCATGAATCACTCTAAAAGTCTCAAACACTCTAATTTAACATCAAATCAAATCCTAAAGCATAAATGAATTACAAGGGGTCATTTAGCACCCTAAAAGAACTTGTTACAAAACCAAAACCTCACATAATCGAGAAAATTAAAACATTGATTTGATTCGAGCTATGCGGTTCAATTATATTCAGGTTATTTATTTTGTGATTCGATTTAATTTAAAAATATAATTTTACAATTCGATTTGATTTCGATTTTTCATATGAAAATAATTTGTTCCAAATCAAATTGAATTAAAAATAATAATAAAATAACTATTTAAAACAATTTCATTTTTAATTTATTATAAAACAAACTTAAATGAATAAAATCTTAAAACTAATATTTTTTTTATAATTTTATATTGTATGTTTGCACTCTATCTAAGCTTTAAGTTTACTTTTTTCTGAATGTTGAGTTTGAAAATTAATGAACAACCAAAAATCACTAAATCAAATTAATTTGAAAACCATGATTTCTATGTCATTCAGTTTTGATTTCAATTTCAATTTTTAGAAACCACAAAATACGATTTGGTTCATCTTTTATTGAAAAACCAAAAGAACCGAATCAAACTAAAATCACGTCAGGACAAGAGTGAAATGAGGTCAGCATTGGCCTTGACCCCCTAAGTGGGTATGTTTTAGTTTCTTTAAATTTCGCAAAAATTTAACTGAATATGATGCTAAAACTAAACTTTTCCCACCTGTAAGTTTATGATTTATTCTGTTTGAAAATTGTAATATCTTATATTAATGTAATTGCAAAATTACATTTTATTTAATTTTCCCCCGAAATTATTTTTGATTTCATCTCTAGGAAAAAGTTAAATAGTGACATAGACAGCACTATATTTCCCATCTAAAATCACTTGATCTACATCTCAAAATAACATGGACTACTTCTCAATGTTGCTTGTTCAGTATATTACCTCACTGATTTTTCAGTGTTTTATTTTGTAACCAACAAAAAAAACATGAACTAGAAGTGACCAAAAAAAATACTTCAAATACTAAATTTGATCCGAAACCTTAAAATGACATAAACTTAAAATTAATCCAAGCAAGAAATAATCCCATTTCACTTGTTCAAGTTAACAAAATCAAAAGTACCAATCATTGTTCTTTACACATTGGCCGTTTCTCATGCTTTCAGCCATGCATTGCTGTTATCTTCAAGTCTAAAAATGCCAATTTTATTTCTAGTCAAGTACAAAATACTTGATATGCCTTTGACTATACACATTAGCACATGAATGAGAAATGAAGAACAACCTATTTGTTACTTAAAAGGAGTGGAAAATATTCTTCCTCTACGAACTACACAATGAAATAGGCAATAATATAGAAAGAGCAAGAGAAACAAGAAACTAGTTAAAAGTTAAACAAAAGTCAGATTTGCTTTATCCTAGGTTTACTCAGATGGACTTGGAAGCGGCTCCATTTGATCAAACATATCAGCTGGGAAATCATGGAAGAAGGCATCAGGGGTCATGGGGATATCAGTTTCTTCCTTTGCACTAAACCCACTAAATGGATGCTCCACGTTCCCACTGTCTAGTTCAGGGACATCTGCAAACACTTGTGAAAAATAAGGATCCTCGAATTTAGCCAAAAGGTCCTGGCTTTCTAGTGATAATGTCAGGGACGGTTGGGGCTGCGGTATCTGAGGGAAGAAGACTTGCGATCGAGTCTCGGCATATGGGTGTTTCCCTCGAGACATAAGCTCAAGCTGAGCCATGTTTGCATCTGTATACAACTGTGGGTTCACGAGTTCTGGGAATTGCTCCACTTTAGTACTCGTCTGAGATTTTTCAAGGTAGGATGTCGAGCAAGATTGACCCTTGGAGTATGATAATTCCTCCATTGATGAGCTCAACTTTGAAGCCTTGAATTTGAACAAAGAAGAAGAAAACATAACCATCATCCACAATACGAAAAGGATTAAATCTAAACCTCTCAAGATTCACTATTGATACAGAATTTTCTTTGAGTCAATTAATCAAATGCATTGTATGGATCCCCAGAGCAGTTGAAATTAAAGATGTTTACCTCCATAAGTGGAACATCATGAAAGCCAGGGATTTCCTTTTTCAATTTGAGTGATTTGGAGGAGGAAGAGGGTGTGCCCGAATTCTGCAAAATCCTAGTCAGTCTCTTCTGCCTACTGCTCCAAAAGTTCTTGACGTCATTGTCTGTCCTTCCAGGCAAATACGTAGCAATTTTAGCCCATTTATTCCCAAACTGTGCCTGCAACTCTATCACCACCCTCTCTTCCTCAGCCGTAAACTTACACCCACTACGAAGATTCAAACAAAGAAAAAAGGAATTAGTAATGAATTAGAAACAAGTAGTTGGAAAATGAAAGTAGGGTTTTACTTCTTCAAGTTGGGTCTAAGTTTGTTGACCCAACGAAGACGACAAGATTTGCCAGTTCGTTGGAGAAGTCCTTTGGATCGAATGGAGCTCCAGTCTCGAGGGCCGTAGTTCTTGACATGGTTGATCAGCACTTCATCTTCCTCCGCCTTCCATGGCCCTTTCCTTAATATCTCTACTCGCTTTCCTTCCATTGTTGCCCTAATGAAACTACACCAAGGAATGGCGCCTTCTCTTCTCTGTTTGATGGATTTTGTGTAATGATCTTTTTAATCTCTCATTAATTATGCCATTTTTTTTTTTATTTCCGAAATGACGGTTAAGACGGTTACTGCCACTATCCTCCCCCGGTATCCCCACGTTCTCTCTCCTTCAAAAATTCTACTTGATTTACATTTATACCCTCCACCCCTTCCCATTTCTCATCCTGTAATTACACCTCTTGGATTTAGACTTTTGGTCTATAAGCCGGCTGAATAACAGTTAAATAATTTAAAATATATTTTAATATTAATATTACTTAAAAAAAATTAAAGGTTACTTTTGCTCTTTTAATAAATCTAATTTATTATTTTTGTTACTATCGTATTTTTGCATCAATTTAACATTCGAAGTTATTTAAGGGCATCATCTTGACTCTCGAAGTCCGTTTTGACTAACATAACTGTTAATCTTCTGCGTATGTGGATAAAGGGTTTAAGTTAAAATATTTATTAAATACAATTGTTAGAAAAAAATATAAAAAAATTATTATTTATTCTAATGAGATTAGGAATTAGGTTAAAATTTTAAATATTTTTTCTAAGAGTTATGTTTAGTAAATATTTTATTATTTATTTTAATAAATATCACATTATCATCAATCTACGTCAGTAATATTGACTGGCTTGGAAATTACTAGTGTACACATACGTAGTCAACAATTTTATTATTCAAAACGGATTTCGAGGATTAAAATGATCCTTTTAAATAATTTCGAAGGTTAAGCTGACAACTAAATCTATCAATTTTTTTATTAAGTTAAAGTTAATTACAAAATAGTATATATTTTAAATATTTTCAATCATTTAATTCAATAAAAAAAAATTAAATACTTAAATAGAAAAATATATATATATATAAGCCTAAAAATAACGATAGGACATACAAATTTTTGCATTACGTACCACAGAGAGAAAGAATCTTAATCAAGATGATATGATGCTAAGAACAAGAGATAAAGTGATAATTTGAAGGTCTTCATCATCATTGCTGTTATTAACAAACATCATAGTTGGCATGACGGATAACCCTCCCCACTGAGTTTGAGAATTGCCCGAGTCAGATTGTAATGATACCATATGATCATTGAAACAACACGAATAGTATGTGACGCAAGTATAATTTTATATCATGCAATTATTTTATAATATTTTTAGAAAACAATTTTATAAAATTTTGAAAGTTAAAAATTTTTATTAATAAAATATATAATAATTTAATATTTTTTAATAAAAAAATACGTCTCCGTTAGTTCTCTCGATCAATCCTGGGAACAGCCAAGCCCCATGAGAGTTTGAACAACACGGACAACCAATGACGTATTTATATAGAGAATGAGAGGGGCAAGCTCCTCCTAAATTTTTTGTTTAGTAGTATTTTAAGTTCTTTATAGAGAAATTAGGGTTTTTTTTATAAATATAATAATATTTTTTTAATTTTTTTATAAATAAAATTTTTAAAATAATATAAATGTGACACGTGTCATTTAACGAAAATTTTTAACATTCGTTACGACCGAGGTACTTGAAATAATAACATTTATAACGTTAAACATATGAATTAACCGAAAAATAATTTAAACATCAAAATGAAAAATAATATAGTTTAAATACTTTTTTTATTAAGCCTTTTTTTATATAGCCTTAAGCTGATAATCATATTATAAATATTTCATTATTGAACGGTTGATGAAATACAATAATTGCTACGGTCTCTAAATTTTTTATGGTTAAAGTATATAAATGATTCATCGATTATAGGATATTGTTTTCTTGAGTTCTTTGACTATTAAACGTTACAAAATGATATCCTAATAATAGAGAGTTGTTTTATTGAGTCGATTATTCATTATGTTCTAAACTCGTCATTTTTCGTTAAAAAATTAATAGGCGTGTGAGCTAGCCGTTAACATGTTGATTGAGATATGATAGCCGTTTGAGATTATGAGATCAAATTTTATCATATCTTAGTCATTAAGTTAACGTACAACTCAAATTGTCGTTAATTTTTTAATAGAAAATGATGAGTTTGGAACATAATGCAATGTCGAATGACCATTTTGTAACTTTTAATAGTCTAGGGACTCAACAAAGCAACTCCCTATAGTTAGAGAACTATTTTTTTAACTCTTAATAGTTTGGGGACTCAACAAAGTAATATCTTGTAATAAGGTTCCATTTGTGTACTTTACCTAATTTTTATTTACTTTTACGCCTACATTTATTAGTGTTCTTTTGGGGAAAAAATAGATGAAATTGACTAAAAATCAGTTAGTCTAGTGGGATGAGGCATTATATCTCTTAAGTAAGGTCAAGAATTCAAATTTTGACATATTCGAATGGAGTAAACTAGGTTGGGAGGTTCGCCATTGCCTCTGCAATACTTGATCCAGATTAATTGATTAATAAATTAAAAACCGGTGGTTATACCAACACAAATTAGATGAAATTTTGTTAAGTGAGACTTTTTGAAATTTACATTAAAAGTAATTAAATGGTAATCAATAAAAGTGTAGTTGATAGTCAAAATATGATTTAACAATGAAAATTTCGTAATTTTTTAATAAAAAATAATTATTTTAAAAAGTATATAAAAAATTACTTTGAACTTTGACGAAATTTACACACGTAAGTTGGTGTCTCGACGTCTACTGGAAAAGCGACTGCAGGTGGTGTTTTCCGAGATCACTTGAGTCACTTCATTTCGGCTTACAACAAGGACCTAGGCTTCTCTTCGGTCCTTACGGCGCAGCTTTGGGGTATTTTTCATGCCTTCATTTAGTTTGGTCCCAAGGCTTCGAGAATATCTTGGTTCAAACTGATAACAGCGAAGCGTATCATCTCCTGCTCCATGTCTCGATGGACTCTCCGTTTTGGCAAGTTCCTCAGGTCTCGTCTTTGTTATGCCAGTCTTGGCATGTTAATTTTATTCTAATCAAACGAGAAGCAAACCGTGCAGCAGACTTCATGGCAAAGTCCACTGTTAGACATGACGGTTCTTTGGCTCTCTTCAGTACCCCGCCGGACGGGCTTGATTCCATTCTTCATCGGGACATTCATGGTCCTCCTCCGTTAAGGCTTCATTAATGTATTTTATTTAGCTTTTGCTTCATTAAAAAAAAATCATTCACCTTTAACATTTTTTTGCAAAGGAAGAGGAAATAAATTACTCAAAGATTCAATCAAAATCTAATATTAATTAAAATATTTTCTTGACATAAAATTATGGAATCAGTTGATTAGTTTGGTATGAATTTTATTTGTTTCAACAGGTATTAGTATATAAATTAATAATAAATAAATGTTCATTAAATTATTTCAAAATAATTTTAAGACTAAATTTTCCAAACTTATAACATATATATTAGATTTTAAATTTTATTATAGAATAAATATCGTACCGTCAATTGTCATTAACCGTTGTGAAGAAAATGGCATATCATATTAAATTAATGAGTAATATATCATTTAACCTTTCAATTGTAACTAAATTTTAATTTTAATATTTTTAATAAATTTAAGTAATAAATTTTTAAAAGTAAAAAACAAAAATTTAAAAATAAATAAAATATTGATAATTTATTTTTTTAATATTACAAATTTTTTAAAAAATTATAACTTTGAGAAAATCTTTTACAAATAATAAAACATTTTATATTTCTCATACCTATAACTAAGTTTAATGATCAATCATTTTAAATAATATAAATATGATAACATTTTTAAATATCTCTAGATGGATCGAGATCGATACATTTTAAATCCGACTCAATCTTGACCTTAATCTCCCCTCTTTCGAAGCACTCATTCAAGTCATTTTTGAGCCCATTTAAAAAAAAGATATTCCTATAAAATCAAATGAAATTAAAATATATCAAGCTTGACAATTTTACCGTTTAAAAATTATTAAACTAATAAAATTTTAAGAAAAAAATATAATTTTATTTTTTGCAGAATAAATTTACATAATAATGGAATCTACATTAAGGTGCAGTTTCTTAATTTATACATATTTTTTTATGCAAATAGAACTACTAATTCTATTAAAAAAAGAAAATGTTTAAATTACAATGTAGTTCGAAAACTAAACACATAATTATAATATTTTTCTCTAACCGTTGATACAATAAATTAGCCATTGAAGGCCATTCAAGAAAAAGTTAAAACTCATCCAAGAAACTTAAATAAAAGACAGATACGAATAAATTTGACCGAATCAACAAATGAACTAAAACAGTGGACTAAACTACTAAAAGATCACCGACAACCGTAAATTAGAATCGAGTGTCATGAGAAAACTATCTACGAATGCAAATCACATATCCAAGTCTTATCTAAGGGTCCAAAACATAAAAAATCAACGTAATAACAAATAAACATCATCTTAATCAGTCGATATGACATTAAATCCAACCCTAAAAATAACCGAAAACATCTCATGAAAGCAGAAGAAAGCGTGTCATATATACATGAAAATGTACCATAAATACATAATTATTAGAAACTAAAAATACATAAAAAATAAATATGCATATAAAAAATAAATGAGAAATAAGGAATATGAATTACCTATAATTTAATATATCATATAATCCTTAACAACTATAAATAACCGTTAAAAGTATGATGTTATTTATAATGAAATTTAAAATTTAATGTAAATTTTATAATATTTTAAAAGTTTGCTTATCATTAACTTTATCTCAAATCAGTTTTTTTATAGTTTTGAATTATTTTCATTTGAAAAAATATTTTAATTATTTTAAAGTTTTAATTCATCCTTGTATTTCAAATTTAAATATATAAATGGTTTCTTTTTATATTAGGGCAAAGTAGAGTTTTTATTCATAATCTTGATTTCAAGGTGGAGATGAAAATGGCGCGTAAAACTGAGTTGGACAAACATGAAATCCTGGAAACAGAGAGTATCAAATGATTGAAGTAGACAAGTGCGTGTCTGTCTGGTCATGTAGAAGCAAAA